CCACCATGTTTAGCCTCTTTGGGTAACTTTGAAAATATCACTTCTTACCTTTGGGGCTCAGTCTCCTTGTCTGAAAAAGGTTGGGCAAGATAATATCTTGAGCAATGATGAAATGGCTTTCTAACAAAAGGAGCGTTGCACTAAAATACAGCCTGCTCTTGCTCCATTTGAAACTGTGTTCAGTCACTTTCTTGAAATTTCTCTCTACATCCAAACCTCTTCCAGTCCCTATTCTCCCAGGTCAGGAAAATCTCTTCTTTAAAAAATAGATTTTCTTTAAAAATGCAAATTGTTTTAAAAAGTGATTATAGAGTATAAGCAGTTCCCCTTGAAAACTAGAAGCATTGCTCTGGAATAGACCCCCTCCAATCCTAGTTGCTGAGGCCACTGCGCCTGGTGGTAGCAAGTCTTATGTCCTTCCCCAAGCCCTATGTCTATATTTCTTCTATCAGTCCAGGAGAGGATGTTGAAAGTTGTTAAGAGCTGGACTCGGTGCTCAGCCTGTAATCCCAGCACTTTGGGAGGCCAAGGCAAGTGGATTGCCTGAGCCTGCAGGTTTGAGACCAGCCTGGACAACTTGGTGAGACCTCATCTCTACAATAGATTTTTTTTTTTTTAATTAGCCAGGCACGTGCCTGTAGTTCTGGGTACTTGGAAGACTGAGGCGGAAGGATTGCTGGAGCCCAGCAGGTCAATGCTGGAGTAGCCATGAGTGTGCCAGAAAAAAAAAAGTAAGTTGTTATCAATAGAGATGCATCCTGTTCTGGATAGTTCTGTCATGGCAAGACTGTTCTTCCCATTGCAGGACGTTTGACTTTCTTGTCCCTCACTAAATGTCAGAAAACAACCCCTTAGTCATTATGACAACCTAAAGAACACCACCCCTGCCCCATTTCCAAACACCCTCTTGAGAAATGGCACCACTCCTGATTGAGAAACCCTTTTAAGCATCAGTTTGCACTCTGATTCTGATTTGCTTCTGAAACATACCACTATGTCTTTGCCAGAAGCCACAAAGTCTGGGCATAAAACTCTTTTAAAATGAAGAGGATGCAAGAGTATACAATATGTAAAAGAGTGCATTGCTCATGGTTTCTCAAACAAAAACAAACAAAAAACTGGGCTCTGTATCTCTGTAACAACTGAGGAAACTGAAATTTACACAAGTTTCTTAAGGTCACTCATTAGATAACAGGCTGCGTTGGCTCTACAAATAAAATCTCTTGAGAACCCAGTGTCTTAGTATATCTTAGTAAAGTGCATCATAATGGTATTTATATCATTGTTGACCATTCTTTTATTGCTTGCAATATACCAGCACTTTACAAATCTCATTTATCCTTTCTATAATTCTGGAAGTAAGTATTCGTATCCCCTTACACAGATTAGAAAACTGATGCTTAGAGACATGAAGTCATTTGGCCAGGCTCTAACAGCTAAGTAGCAGAGCTAGGATTCAAATTGAAGTTCACGAGACTGAAAAGCACAGTGCCTTGCTGCTCTGACCAATAGTAGTCCTGGTGCTTTTTTCAGTTCACCTTACTTTCAAGTAGCAGGAAAGTTAACTGAAATCCCTAATTTATGACCAATTTGTCAGGAGTGACACTAAAAACAATTATTTTGCACTGTGTTCTGCCAGCGATGTTATTTTTCATTATTGCTAGGACTACTCTCAGCAGGATCACCTCATTAGCTGAAAGAAATGTTCCCTGTTGTTCTGTGAGAGACCGGATCAGATGGAGAAGCATAAAAACAAACTCAGGAAAGTGATTCTGTGTTCCCCTCATTTAGGGGATGGAACAGTAATCCCTTCTTCTCTGATTCCCAGCCTCCTCAGTGATGTTTTACTTCTGTAGTTGCAGAAGTGTTTTGAAAAGGATGAAAAAGTTTCACAGGGATGGCTTCCAAAACTTTATCAGTGTTTCCATAACAGAGCAAATTGGGGTGTTGAAGCAATGAGGTGAGTACACTTAATACTGGTCTGTTTTAAATTTTCCCATGTAGGAAAATAACAGTTTGACTAGATTGGTTCTAACTGGCTATCAGGAATAACTAATAGTGAGTGAGACTTTTGGTTTTTTTATATTTTTATTTTAAATTCATTTTTAGAACAACCTAAATGCAAATACTTCATCAAACATACTGATGTACCCTGACAGATATCTCCCAAGCCATGTGTTACAGAAACCGTCCATAAAATCCTATCACTTTGCTCCTTTTGCAGTTCACTATCTATAGTCAAATTTTTTTAAAAGTTTTTAATTACATTCAATTACAGGATGTGCATTTCACTTAGAATAAAATTGAAACTTCTCTTTCAGCCTGCATGACCTGGCTGCCGCTGCCTGCCCCTCTGGCCCCACCGCCTCCCTTGCCCCCTACCCTCTAACCTTCTTTTTTTTTCTTTTGAGTCAGGGTCCTGCTCTGTCACCCAGGCTAGAGTGAGTGACATGATCACAACGATCATGGCTCATGGCTCATAGAAGCCCTGACCTCCTAGGCTCAGGCGATCCTTCCACCTCAGCAGCTAATTTTTTACTTTTTTGTACAGATGAGGTCTTGCTATGTCGTCCAAGCTGTTCTCAAATTCCTGGGCTCAAACAATCTGCCCGCCTTGGTCTCCCAAAGTGCTAGGATTACCCATGTGAGCCGCCGAGCCCGTCCCATGGAACATTATCACCTCCTCATCTTTACTTGGCTGATTCCTTCTTGTACTTCAAAGTCCAACACAGCTTTCATCTTAATAGAAAACTGTTCCCTAAGTCCTTAAGTTGTCTATCCCTCTATCTCCAATCACAATATATTCTTTTGTTTTATTTTTAAAAAGACTTTTTCAGTATTTGAAATGATCTTATATTATTATTTTCTTTACTTGCTTATTTTCTGTTAAACTAGAATGTAAGCTCCCTGAAAGCAAGAAAGTACCCACATGATTAGAACAGAACCCAAGAATATAGTAGGGTTCAAGAATATTTGTTAAATGAAAGAATGGATGGATGAATGAATGAATTTCAATCTGTGCCTGGAATGAAATTTAAGTCTCAGATAAATAGCATAAGGCACAGAGATTTTCATTGAGTGGTTGAAATCTATATAAATATGTGAAAGTTGACATTAAAATCAAAATTACAAAGTTCTATTCTAATATTCTTCAGACTGCCTATCAAGAACAGGAATTCTGTTGGAAAGTAGACATATAAGCCAGGGAAACTTGGAACTGCTTCACAGGGAGACATTTCAGACCATTTGACATCTCTCTAGAAGTAGACTTTTGTGAGATACAGGTCTTCTGCTTACTCAGACTGATTTTACCAAAATTTTCAGGATGAACATCAGAACATTTCCAAATGTCCTATTTTATATCCATGTCCTTGCCCTCTAATTAACACCATCACTTCCAAGGGAATGGCATCATTATCTGGTCTCTTCTACTAGCAGTGAACTTGTTTTAAGTCTTTGGGTTTCAAAAATAAAACCTGAATATGTCCCAGATGTCCTTTTATTGAATTCACAGAATACAAATGGAAAAAGGTTATTACCAGACAGAGGTGTTTAAAAATGAAAATCAAACTTAATACATGGATTCAGACAACTGGAATAAGGAATATAATATTTATAAAACTGAGTAGGAGGTTGCGATCACTGCTCTAAAATAAAGCATTAAAAATTAATTCAGTGCAAACCTGTCTGTGCTATAGCAAAGCTCTCTTTCATTAAGGCAGCATTGCATGTTTCTCTAGAATTAGTTCCCAAAATAGGTAAATAGCTTGTAAGAACTGAGTATTCCACAGACTACACAAGCACTACCTGAGGCATGATTTAGAATTGCTTTTAGTATTACAGCTGTACAGACCTTTCATTTGAACCAATTAATTGTGATTCTTGCAGTTTCCCTATGTTTTTTACCCTTGAGCATTACTAGGAAGGTTTAATTCACATGCTTCTTGTTCATCTTCATTGGATTCATCCAAATGGTGTTATATCATTTGATTAATTCATATGTTGCAGAATATTAAATCTTGGGGAACTGTGGATATCGATCATATGTTATATTTTAAAATTTTAGATTTTTCATTTCAAAAAGTTTGTGTTTCATATTTTAAAAATATTTCTCCCTATCTGGCTCTGCTTCACATTATTGTTGTTAGTATTATGTTACTATTATTATTATTACTATTTGTTTCCAACTGCAGAATACTCTCAAAAGAAAAAAAATAAAACTGCTGGTATTGTTGCTGCATTTTCCATTGAGATGCAGTTTTTATTTTGTTCAATTTACATCATTCCTCTGAAGTCCTAAAATAAATGCCTTATAACCTCTAGGCCCTATTGATTTTCGAATGATTTCAAATAAAAAGCAGCCAGTTTCCATTGCATTGACAAGCTGTTCAGTCCCTGGGCAATACCTATTGGATTCCTATTAAGTGGAAAGCAGCAAGAAAAAACAGAAAATCCAAAAAGTGGGTTTGAGGTGGAGGGGAGAGGTGGTCTTAGCTCAACTCAGCAAATGGGTACTTAACCTTTGACCAATGACGACAGGCCTTCTTTCGTTCTATTAGACCAAGAGCAAGCTGTTATGATTAAATAAAAAAGAAAAAAAAAACTGTTTAGAGCCTTACAGAATATGTCCTGGGAATTAAAGCATATGGCAGGGATAAGGGGAAAAGATTTTCCTTATGCTAATGACCCTTGATGTCTGAAATAAATTAGATCCATTAGAGTTTATGCTCAATAAAAGAAAGACTTTAAGCACTCCAAAGTTAGTGACTCGAGACCAGTTTTTGTTCTGAAATTCAATCTGCCTACTTATTAATTCTTAGTGAGACTCCAGAGCAGGCAGGAGATACAAAATCATAATTCTGTACTGAACTAGAATTTTAAAGGACCACAGGTTTCTTTTTCCTTTTCTTTTAATTAAACCATTTTTCATGCTTCCCATTTTGTTTCCCTCATTAATTTGATTTTGTTCCCATTTTTGTTCATTTTTTTTTCTTTTCAAGGTTTCATTTATCCTATTTCAACTGAACAGAGAACCCAGAATGAATATGGATTTTCTTGTAAGTTTGATGTTTGAATTTTATGTTGCTGAATAATCATATAACGTTATTGACCCCAGTTCAAGTTTACTTTCTTTGGATCGCAGATGTGCACACAGGAAATAGGAAGCTAATATATTCTAACATGAAAAACAAATTAGATTTTCACTGCTGAAGAGAAGAAAGGGTCATTTCAAGACTCTGCCAGCTTTAAAATCTATCAGTCTACCATTCAAAGCTCAAGTCCCGATAGCTGACAAAACATATCGTGAAATATGCTGATATAAGTAAAGGGCGGGGTTCAGACACTAAAAAGGAAAGGGCTGGGGAAAAGGCAGATCTGTTGAGCTAGAAATCATAAATGTTGAATAAGTAACTACGACCCAGTAAAGTAAAACATTAAGGATTTAGATAGAATATTCTGACCAGCGTTCAGAATCCTGTTGCAGGGCTTCAAATAAAACCCAACAGCAAAGTGAAGTCAGTGCTTTGAAAGCAGCACAACGAAGAGGATTTGGAATATCACTGACTTTCTGGAAAAAAAAATCTGTCAGTGTTCACTTGATTGATGGGAAAGTAATGGATATTCTGGAAACTTTGGGAAGGACAATATTTTGAAAAAGAAAGCAAAGTTCTTTCACATACAGTACATTTAAACACAAAGTACTGAAAGAGATTGAACAATTTCCAACAGGGAATTCATTTATACTGCCAATGTGTGAAAGATCTTATGACATTAAAGTGTGGGTTATCCTGTGAGCCACTGGCAAATGAAACTGAGCAATTTCACCATATAAACCATATGTTAGTGAGTCTTAAGAGAGAGCAGTGGCTCCTCAGATTTTAAGAGGCCAAGGGACTTACACATTTGAAAATTCTCTCTCCCAAAAAAATACACATGTATATAAAATAGACCATAACATTTTAGATTGTTCTTGACCACCTGAAATACCAATTTAACCCCCTCTTTTACAGTGAACAAAGCAGCTTTGGGTAACTTTGCTGAATATTTCTTGTGGGTCACAGAACTAAAAACAGAGTCTTAAGGATGTCAAGGGGATTCCGCAAAGGTTTAATTGTGTTTGATTCTCAGCTTCTATCACTTTTTCCAGTTGAATCAAAGCATGTTCCATGGCGCCAAGACAACACGCAACCTTTACAGGAATTCTGTTCTTGCTTTACCCAGAAACAGGGCCTCAGTTGACTGCACATTTCTGTTGGTCAAATGTTTATTTGCCTTCTGGGGTAGTCTGACCTTTCTGATCCCTGAAACAGGCCTTTATCTTACTCCTTGCACCATAGAGCTAAATTTTATTCTAGTAATGAGTAACTCCCATGTAAATCTCTGACAAGGTATCGTGAGAAGCTCATGATTCTCAGAGACAATACTGCATCTGTATCAAAAGTCAGGACTTAGTGAAGGTGATAACCTCTGCTCCCCAGATCTGGGCCCTCCGAAAGCCCCCCTTTCAAATCAAATATGTTTGCTCCTCATATTTGCTTTGCTTAGTTACAGCATTCCCACCCACCGCTCCACTGATTTAGGGGAAAGTAAGAAGAGGATGGAAAGTCATTTAATGACTTGCAATGATACTTAGGAAAATATTCTGGTTCAATCAATATGCATATTTTTTAAATGCCAGATATTTCTAACAGAGTGTTTATGTTTGTGTTTTTAATGAACAATCAGTGAATTTTAAAACCCTTGCAAACTTTTCCACCCAAAATGAGTAATTAACTTTTTTCCCTGTGGGTTGGAATGGTTTTAGTTCCGATTTCTTTACATGCGTAGTAATAAATGGTGTGCTATGCTGCCCAATTACAAGATAGATTAGTGGGTGGATAGATGCAGAGTGAGAAAGGAAATCAGAGATAATTTTCCACTGAAAGGCCGCGGCCATTTTATATAGCTTTTGAAATAGATTTGAAATTAACCTATAAAAAAGGCAATAAATGTCTGAAAAAATTATATCAATACATTTGCATACTGTGGGAAATTTCTATAAGCAGCTGTTCCAATGTTTCATTCCTCCTCTCTAGCTGCTCCTGATTCAGATGACGTTGCTCTCTATGTTGGGATTGTGATCGCAGTGATTGTTTGCCTGGCGATCTCCGTAGTTGTGGCCCTGTTTGTTTATCGTAAGAATCACCGTGACTTTGAGTCTGATATTATTGACTCTTCAGCACTCAATGGGGGCTTTCAGCCCGTGAACATCAAGGCAGCAAGACAAGGTCAGTTGATGTTCCACCTCACACTCTTACTTGTACATATAAGCGATTTCCCTATGTGGCTTCAAAATCAGTGACATTGGGGTCATCCTGTTGGTTAGGCTTGTAGTAGTATTGAAATGAAGTTCATGTTTTGTTTTTTTGTTTGTTTTTTTTTTGAGTTGGAGTCTCACTCTGTCACCCAGACTGGAGTGCAGTGGCCGCTCCCTGCCACCACAGCCTCTACCTGCTGGGCTCTGGCGATCCTTCCACCTCAGCCTTCCAAGTAGCTGGAACTACAGGTGTATGCTATCACACCTGGCTAATTTTTTTATTTATTGTAGAGATGAGGTCTCACCATGTTGCCCAGACTGGTCTTGAACGCGCGGGCTCAGGCAATCCTCTCGCCTTGGTCTCCCAAAGTGCTGAGATTACAGGCTTGAGCCATTTCTTTAGAGACAAGAGCTTGCTATGTTGCCCAGGCTGGTCTCGAATTCCTGAGTTCAAGCAATCCTCCTACCTCAACATCCCAAAGTGCTGGGATTACAGGTGTGAACCACTAAGCCTGGCAGTGGCTCTTTTTTTTCTTTTCTTTTCTGACAGATTGCTCTGTCATACTTTTTAACTTCCATTTGAAAAGAGTTCACTGATTTCTTGACTTTCCTTTTTCCCCCTTTGACAGACATTTTGTAATGCTGTGAATACAGTTGTTTACCAGTGAAGCCAAATCCAGTATAGAAAAGAGAAACTATTACCTGGTAGTCACCTAGTGGAGCTCATTGTTCAGTCCAGTCTGTTGTCATAGCTAAATACCTTAAACATAATGAGTAGACTTCAAAGCAAAGTATGGAGTCAGCCTGGTTACTTTTTTACAAACAGTGATAAAACAGATGTCAGTTATCTGATTGCCCTGCTTTCAGCTCAGCTTGTCTATCTGTCTCCAGTATTAGCTGAGCTGCTTTGTTTTGGGCCCAGAAAGTGTACAGGGGAGTCTTACTAATGTGAGTTGGCTTGAATGGACAATGCAAATGAAATTATTTCCTCTTTCTGACTCAGATCGTCTGGTGGTACCCCCAGATCTCACATCAGCTGCAGCCATGTACAGAGGCCCTGTCTACGCCCTGCATGACGTCTCAGATAAAATCCCAATGACCAACTCTCCAATTCTGGATCCACTGCCCAACCTGAAAATCAAGGTGTATAATACCTCAGGCGCTGTCACCCCCCAAGATGACCTCTCTGAATTCACATCCAAGCTGTCCCCTCAGATGACCCAGTCCTTGCTGGAGAATGAAGCTCTCAACCTGAAGAATCAGAGTCTGGCCAGGCAGACTGATCCATCCTGTACTGCATTTGGCACCTTCAACTCCCTTGGGGGCCACCTTATTGTTCCCAATTCAGGTAATTCCAAAAGGTTTAACTCGCAAAGATGTAGCTTGAAGCACAGTTTTCATACTAATATATTTTTGGTTTGTTTTAATTAGGCCTGGACAGTTAAATGTGGCCTATCTAACCCAAATCTACTTTCAACATTAACCAAACATTACTTTAGACAAAATCAGGAAAGCTATTTATCTTCCTCCAACTAACTCTGAAAAACACTTCCTCTAGAAATATACAAACAACTTTCTGCTGCGATGTAATTTAGAACTGTCATTGACCTTCTTTTTAATAAAACTTCAGAAGGCAACATCAAGCCTGAAGCCCTCATTGTTGTCACTATACTCGAAAAGAACAAATTAATTAGAAAATATATCAGTTGGTTCAGTTACAATTTACTACAGGAAGCAAGATTTCAGAATACTAATTTTTCGATCATCAGAAGGCATCATGATAGACATCAAAACTTCATTTATTACCCTATCACACAGTCTTCCACCTCAAGGTATTGATAGGGTGCACTGTGCTCACCTCTACTTCTGCTATATCTATCTAGAATCAATAGATTCATCAGGTGTCCTTTTGTAGTATTATTTAGTTTTCAGTTTATGATGCAGTTCATCTGCATCTAGAGAATAAACCTTATAAAGGTCTTTAATGGTGAACTTAAGTTAGTGACTGACACTGCTAGGTTAAAAATTGGAATCCATTAATCAGTGGTAATAATGGATTTGAGGCCATAGGTCATAAGAGGGTTAATGGCTACATTTCTGAATCTATCTTAACAATTTTGGACAAGACTGTATTTTGTAAATACAGTAATAAAAAGCAACTTTATTGACCTAAAGTGTTGTTACATTTTTTAAAAATAACATATATATAGTCAGGTAATATGCAGACCAATGGATCTTCAGGCCTGGATATGAAATTGGCTTTGATTCTTCCTCTTCTTCAGTCCCTCATTTCATTTCCTTGGTAATTTTCACTCTATCTCTTTAAAAGTATATTTTATCAAATTCAAAATATTTACTAGAATATCATTTTTCCTTTTTCCTATATATTTGACATAACTGAAATCATGTATTATATAAAATGACTTTTAACTTCTTTACATTAATTCTTATGCTATTGCATGCTCTTTAAAAATCATGATTTAAATATAACAGTCCATCAAGCTATGGATCAAAACATACTCTATTGTTCTTCCATAGTTTAAATATTATAATTATTCCCAAGATAGTTCCTTTCCCCACGACATGCATTGAACTCTGCCTTTTCTTCTGATGTCTACACCTGCCACTTTGTCATATATGAATTTTAAAGGTTTTTTTAAGTGGGAGGGAACTAGCATGTTTTAAATTCTTTCTATGTACCAGGCAATGATGATCAACAAGCATTATTTTATTTAATAGACTAACAATAGTTACTTGTTATTTTGCATATATAATTCTGTTTAATTCCCATAACAAAGATGAAGGCACATTTTCTATTTTCAATGAGAAAAATAAATGTGCTGGGACTTGATAGCTCGTGTGTGGTCTTCCTGCCTTCACTCAGTCCTTCTCCCCCCAAATCATTCTGTGCACAGGCATTCCACTTTTCACTACCCTATAGCTCTCAAGATACTTTCATTCTCATGAAGGCCATAGCTTTGCATAGCTTCAACCAGCTATGCAAAGGCCTTTGAATAACTAGGCCTTTGACTCTCCAGTCTTTATTCTTGAGACTTTCCAACATAGTCTTAATGCCCCATGCTCATTTGACATACTCTACTTCCTTGCCAATTAAATTATAAATCACTTCGGAGAAGAACACTATCTTTTACTTCTTGGCATTCATAACACTGCCCGACACTGTACTCACAAGGATGCTCCATAAATGTATATTGAGCTGAATTAAACTGAATTTTATGGGACAAAAATGATGAAGCCAAACATCTTAATTGTGCTGTTTACCCTATTCACTCTATGACAACCATCAGTGGTATGGGTCAGTGGTTACAAGGTGGGCCCCAGACCACCATTGTGGGCATCATCTGACAACTTGTGAAACTAAAAAATCTCCTATACCACCCCAGACCTTCTACATCAGAAATTCTGGGGATAGGATCTAGCAATCTGTATTGTAACAAGTCCCCTAGGTGATTCTGATGTAAGTTTAAATTTGCAAACTACAGCTACAAGCACAATTAGTTTAGAACACAGCTCAAACTAATAGTCCTGCAAAATGGCACCAATTAGCAACTAAGTAGAAACCTTTGACCTGCTGTGACTAAGCCAGCAGTTGCTGTTCACTTTCTAGAATTATCTATAATAAAATCTCTTCACCAATTCTCATTTCGTTGTGGAATTACACTGATGCTAACCAGATATCTAAGAAATAAATGTTTTTTTTATATGGTCCAAGTTAGCATTGCCTTGACTTTGAATCAGGTGAGGATTTTTTTAAATTGGAAATGATGCATCATTACAGCTGTTTGAAATTTTGACCAATTGTTGGTTTTCCCCTTGTTCCCCACCCCCCAAAAAAACAACAGCAGAACCATCTGTCTATTCCTTGAATAAAACAAGTTTTAAAAATCACATCATTTCTTTAAGTAATTCCATAACAATTCAGAGAGAGATGTGGCAACAAGGCCAATAAGGAAGGAAGGTAGAATAATGATGAATATTTACATGTCTTTAGAGAAAAAGAAGCAGACTTATGGCTACATGGTCACAAAATCTCTTTTCTTTTTACTTGCTACAGAAGCATTCTGTGAAGTTTCCTTTTGATTCATAGGTCTTATGTGACTGCTTCTTCTCTTTTGCTATTCAGGAGTGAGTTTGCTGATTCCTGCTGGGGCCATTCCCCAAGGGAGAGTCTACGAAATGTATGTGACTGTACACAGGAAAGAAAATATGAGGTAAATATGCTTTTTCTGGTGAGCTGACTTTATCAATATCTAACTTGGAGGAGAATTGTACCGCAGAAACAAGAAACCCAACATATTTTTGTCTCACATGCCCTGTTTCTGACACTTTTTTCCCCCTCAACCTACAAAAGGTCAAGTTTTACTTTTCTTTGTCTTTGAAGTGCCAGATATTTTGCAGATCTTGAGTATATGCAGAAGGCCAGAGATCTTTTCCAAAGTGGACATTGGTCACATTTGCTGAAAAAAGGGCCAGAAATGTGATTCACAGATTGTCCAGAAAGACACGTGAGTAGACAGACACAGACTCTGTGTGGCCTGATTTAGGAATCCAGGCTGTTCCTATTATAGAATTAAAGGTCATAAAACACTGGACAAACCCTTAACCCCCGACCTGCCACTCCCTCCTCAGCCTAGCACTTAATTCTTACCCACGGATCATTCTTTTGTGACTATCTTCTAGCTTAAGTGTTACCAACCTCCTTCTTATGGTCAGCACTTATAAATTTCATACTTAGACCTTTCAAAATGGGTCTAGGGTTGAATGAAACTAGATTAAATAAAAAGGCTCTGTTTCAAATGTGTCATAAACATAAGGATGAAGTTATTTTAAGTGAAAATAACAGTAGGAGTGTAGAAGTCCTACATTCAATTTTCAGTTTGGCCTCCAACAAATTGTCTTTCTGGATTAGTTCCTATATAAAGTGCCTATATTAAATAGTGCCTTAGAGGCCTGACAGATTAATGCTTCCGAAGTACACTGAGATCTTCAAATAAAAGATGTTGTTAAAATCAAGGTTCTGATCACGTAATTATCATTGTTCTTCCCAAAAGGAAAAGCATCAACGCCTCAGCCCTGAGTTCTGAATGCAAAGCATGAGTGACAAATGTAGAACTAGGTTATCATTATAACGCAGTATACCTTTTCTCTTCACCTCTTTCATCCTCAGAAAAACACCCGTTTTTATTCTTGATCTTCAGAAGCTGGAAAGTGCTTCTATTATGCTCTCAGGTGGAGATGTTGGTATTTATAATTGGTGTGACCCAGAACATTTTTTTCCTCAGGTGGTCTACTTTCACCTACACAAACACTAGCCTTAGAAAATGATACAATTCTTGAGCATTATTCATATCTTAAATTTGAACAACAGAAAATCACTAAAAGACTTGTATTTACCCACATCAAATATTTATTTTTTTCATTCCCAATGCAAAGCAACATTCACAGGCCCTCAGAACCCCCTTCTTTAGAAGCAAGAAAAAAGATTAGCAAGCTCCAAGATCTCCTTATTTTATTTTTTTATTTCTGTCGTCCAGAGTCAAGGTTAGAATTAAGTACATCCAATTGTCAAGGCCTTTGCCAATATGCATATTTTGTTTAAACAGAAATGAAGTATTAGCTTGTGCTTTATGCTGAGAAACAGCTAGATGCTTGGGGTCTCTTATTTTCCATTCAATTATCATGATCTTCCACTGAAGATCAAGCCATCTAGGGTTGCTGTAGTCATGGGCCAAGGCTGAAAGATCTGTGCACTCACATACCTGCTCTGTTTTGCCTTCCCATAGTTTAGTTGACACCCTAACCAGGATAATTATACATTCTAGATGAAGGAAAGAAAAAACAGAATATGGAGAAATCTAGATACTGCTGCTTTAGGTTCCTCTGACTTTAACTATAATGAAAAGAAAACTACAAATCACCCCTTGCTATGCCTACCACCTGATGTTAGGTGCAAAGGGAATGACTCTTTTGATCTGGTGTGCATCAAAGAAGTTCTGTTTATAAAAATGAAGCTAGAGAAACCTCAAGATCCTAAAAGAAAATATGCACCAGAGACCGTGAAACAAGGGACAAACATAACTGTTTCAACTAAATAAGAAGCTCCCTCTTCACTAATTTTCTGTTGTGAACTAGGAGCATTTTTATTGTAAAAACACAATAGATTGTGCTTTAGATTATAGTCATACTACAAAGCATTGTTTGGCATTTATTCAGCAAACTCTTAATGTCATTCATTCCTCATCATACCCTGCAAGTTACAATGAGCCCCACTTTCAAGATGACGAAACCAAGGCTCCAAGAAGTTAGGCTACATTGCTAAGTTTTCTCATTAATAACTAAAGGAGGCAGAAGTCAAACCCGGGTTTTTTTTTACCCCAGAGCTCTTCTGCTATCTAATGTGCCATCCTCCTCTGTAGCACCAGTGCACAAACCAAGCCTCTTACTTATTAGAGTGCATTTTGGGATCCCCTTTCCATTGCTGACTAAAGACCCTTTCTATTCTCACATGCTGTGAGATAGAACGTCTTTAGGAGAAGACTCTGAGGACCTCAGGAGATGCAGAGGTTATGTCAATGCATTCATAGAAGAATTCTGAGCATTTTTCTCCATTTTCTTTCTTTCCGATTCCTTTTATTGCATTCAAAACTGGTTGTGTTTCTAGCTGGATGGTATCCAGCTGGTCATCTGCTGATGTGAACTGTCTGAAGGGAGATGTGAGCTTAATTACATGTGGCATAGTGAATGAGACAAGAGGAGCCTTATCATTACTGAATATGCTCTAAGAGAAAGCACAGACTGGCAGCTGAATAGCCTGAATGAGCCATAGAGATGGGACCAGCCGCCTCTGACCAAGGAGGATGCCAGGCTGCACGGCTGTACCCAGGATTTACACCTCTCCACCATACAAATTTCTGGAGAGGCAGCAATTGTATTGCCCCGTGGATACAATTTCCACAATTAATGCTGCTAATGTGGGCCCTTTTGTCTTGTTTCTAGCAGCAATTTAAAAACATGAATCTGACTCAGATTGAAATTTTGCACTTTGTCAGTCCTTAGTGAAAAATAATTTGAGGGGAAGATATGAAAGTTAAGTTTCCTTTTTCTGTGCATTCTGTCCTCACCTGACAATTTTATCAAAAGGCCAAAAAAGTCAATTTAGAAATTCCAAATATATAGGTAAATAGAACACCTATTTTGTAAACTGTGGGGAGCTGAGTGACACAGGAACAGCAGTGCTTTTTAAAGATTGGGCTGGTGACAGTGTACCAGGTGCATTGATGGGGTGCAGAAAGACTCTCCCAGAAGGCCTGGTGCCTGGGTGGGCTACAGCAGTAATCTAGGCGTAAGAAAAGAGAGGGATGAGCCAGGCTAGAGTCTAAGAGAATGGAAAGAATAAAACTTTCCAGAAGAAGAAGTATTTCACAATTGGCTAGCAGTGTTTCAAAGAGGGAACAGAACACATACAGAAATATATTTAGGAATCAAATCTGGACTCTGTGAGAATTGTGAGAGCAATAACAGGTCAGAAGCACCAACTGGTGGGAGGAGAGAGGACAGATTCTGACTTGATGTGGTTGCTGTGTGATTGGGGATATGGCCTCCAGCTAGAGACACCAAAGTGAAGTCAAAGTGAAGGCTGGGAGGGAAGCTCCAGTGGAGAAAATGCAGAGACAGAAAGCAGAGAGCTGGGGAAAGAACTTTGGGAAATAGTTCTAGGAAGGTTTGAATACGATGAGAGCAATGAAATAGAGCACTTGAGGATAAGGCAGATAAAGAAAGAGTTTGCACCCAGCATAGTGCTTCACATGGTGCTATGTTATGAGCAGTATTCTCAATGAATATTTTGAATGAAGAATATGAATACTCGTAAGGACAAATAAACTGCAGTAAAACAGGATCTCAAAAATCAATGGTAAAGAGATCTTCAAGGTGTTATCAACACAGAGTGTTATCAAAATTAAAACGTAAAGAAGCCCGGCTTGGTGGCTCAGCCTGTAATCCTAGCACTTTGGGAGGTCAAGGCCAATGGATTGCCTGAGCCCGCGGGTTTGAGACCAGCCTGGGAAACTTGGTAAGACCTCGTCTCTACAAAAAAAAAAAAAATCAAAAATTAGCCAGGCATGGTAGCATGTGCCTGTAGTTCTGGCTACTTGGAAGGCTGAGGTGGAAGGATCGCCAGAGGCCAGCAGGTCGATGCTGGGGTGGCTGTGAGTGTGCCACTGCACTCCAGCCTGGGCAACAGAGTGAGACTCCAATTCAAAAAAAAAAAAAATGTAAAGAAGGTGGAAGGGCAATAAGAAATGTCTTGGATTTGTCCACTGTGGAATATTAGTGGCCTTTGGAATTCCCGCCCCCGCCCCCACCAGACATCTCTATAGAAGTGATTTAAGGTGTGAGTTAGTGGTGAGGCAACTAAACTATCATATATATCTACTAAATATAAATAATAAAGTTATGTGTTAGGACAAAGTAAAGGGCCAAAATTCCTGAGTTTTTATTTATTTTAAGATGTTATTGTTTGAAACTTTGTAAAATAATGGTTGACATTATTTCTCAGTGAAATTCAGGGATATTTCCCCTTTTAGGTAGAGATTCCTTTCTCACTCATGAGTCCCAAGTTCCTCTTGAAGGAATAGCTGTAAAAAGCTAAAGGTAAGGTTAGTGAATCCAGGTACATTTAAATCTTATTCTCACACTGTTCTTGACAGTGTTTATTTATAGAAATTCTACTTATAAAGAAATGCTTCAAGGTGGCTGACAAAACACCTTCTTTTCAATCAGCAGAAAAAAATTAAATCAGTGAATAAAAAGAGAATACAATGGAAAAAAATAAGTCATAAAAGATAAGTTAAAATCAGGTGAACAGTTAGAACATAAAATACGTGGTGCAATTCCCAGCACATTTTTTTGGAGCTAGGTCATGAATTTACTGTTTCTAAGCCTTTCAAGAGGGAAACATGTCAAGTTACAAGCTCTACATGTCTGTGTGGAAAAAATATGCCCATAAGAAGCTCAATTATGTCTCCTTTGGTTCCTCATAAAGAACACATTTTGTTAATACAAGGAACAACATCCTTAAGATAAAAATAGCAGTGAATTTCAAGGACTGCTTCTGTTAGTGGCCCTCGATGGGAGTAGATATGCCTAATGCTTATCAGTTCTGCCTTAATCCAGAGACAGACTCTGGCATCTAGGGAGCTGGTGGCACGCCCTTCAGAGTAGCTTCCATAAATATTATTTTTGCACAATTGAGCTTTTGCTAGCAAGTGAGTTAGATAGTCCCTGTCAGGTATCCAGAGTGCAAATATTTCAAGATGCCAGTTATGTGTGAAGGCATGTGATTTTAAAGGCAGCTAAGCCTAGGGTGGGATTGTCAGCCTGAGGGACCTGACAGAAGACACATGTGTTCATACAAGTCATCTCATGTTCCCACAGAGGTAAAGACAGATTCTTTTCAATGGTCTTTAAGCCTGTTCTAACAAACAGAAAAAAATGTTTATCAAGGACTTAAGCCCTTATAAGTAACTCAAAATATACCACTGTACGAAATAAATTAAATGACTTACATTTGAAATCTAGCTTTGCTGATAACTAGTTTTTCATCCTTAGGCAAGTGTGTTAATAGCTCAAGGGCTCAGTTTCCTCTTCTGGAAAGAGGTAATATAAATACTCTGACTTCCTTACAGGTGTGCCATGAGCAACAAATACAATGGCTTATATGAAAGCAAATATATATATTGAAATGTATGTAAATTATATTAAAATATATATATTTGTACAAAACATATACAAATTTCTATATGAAATATACAAATATTTTGTAAATTATGCACTTTTGTGTAGAAGTTCTTCTCACTGGTAACAACAGGCAGAGGATGAGAAAATATCTTGGACAGGAAACTGAAATTTCTATCTGTGGACTTTGAACCTCAGAACCCATCTAGCATTTACCATGATATTATCCTTATTGGACTTTAAAAAGCATTTAAAATTTTAATCATTGTATTTCACTGAATTTCTACTTAATTGCTGCTCCTGTAGCTAATTTTTCTCTGTGTTCATTTCCATGTCATCTGCAGTTAATATTTATAGACTGCTTGAATAGCTTAGATAACATGAAGCATACAGGAGTAAAGTCCTTCTTTGCAAAATCATGAATCAGACTTATTTCCTACCTTTTTCTTCTATGTATTTTAATATCTTTCCTTTATATAAATAAGGGAAATGTGAATTTAGACACTATGAACTTTGATTTCACATAGTTACAACTTATCTTACCTAAGTTACTTCTTTGTATATGCCAGAAGGATTTCCAATTTCAAGGCTACTTCTTTCATTCTGAAATAATGTAAGAGATTCTTATCATTATTTCTTCTTTGTTTATCATTCCCTGTTATGAATTCCACTTCACCACTTCCCTATTCATTACATTCTTGCACCTCACTGGGTTAATAAATTCTTTTGACATCTACTGCCCCTCCTTCCTCCCTCCTTCTCTTGCTATCCCTCCTCCAAGAATGGTGCCCATCAATATTGCATGCCAGGGGTGTGCTTAGAGAGTACAGGTCTGACAGTTTCCCAGCCAGCAGGGAGTTTTCTCTCTTCTGTTCCAAGTAAGTGATGAGAAGAACCCCTCCTCCTTCCTGCCTCAAGCACCAGCTGCTAACACCAGACTGAGAGATAGATGTTTTCAATCCCCAGCTATATTGCAAGGGCCACTTGAAATGGATTCCATTCTGGTCTCCTTCCTTAAAAGTTTAATGCTCAGTTCTCAAGGAACACTTGTAAGTAGAAGTTAAGAGGAGCGCTCAGAAAAATGCAATCATTGCTTTCTCTCTCTCCCCTGGGGCAGGAAAAGTAGAATTAAGCAATAATAAAGTCACTGCTTAAGGCAAATAATGCAATATTAACTATGACACAATGAAAGCAGAATTCACTCATGTTCTAAGAGAATGAATTTTAGACTGGAAGGAGAACAAACTGGGTTAAGAGGAAATGGAAACCAAGGTGGTAAAGGGATAATAATAAGGTCTCAAGCTGCTGCCAATCATATGATTCCAAATATGAGGACATTCCTATGTACCTAGATAACTTCTGATTTAAGAGAGAAGATTGGGTTGTTATTCAAAGACAATGAGCATGGTATTAAAAGAGTAAACGTAGATAAAAATTGTTTTGGTTTTCTAAATAGGAAGAAAGAAAAGTCATAGGTTGGTGAGATCCTAGTGCAATTTTAGAATAAGGACAAGGTGATAGACAAGAGTTATGAAGGGGAAAATATGCCACATTTTAACTGAATACTTAGAACTGATAAAAGTCAACTGTGAAAGCTCCAAGATTGCTTATGAGCAACGAAGTTAGCTACCACAATTTTATGGATGCTGATAGAAGACACAAGACTCTTGGGTTAGAGACAAAGGATAGTTTACTGCAGCAATAGTGCTAAGCAGAGTATTATCACTTTTGTGCCAGTTTCTGAAGCCCCAGTTCAGAAATAGTGATGCAAAAAGTTTCAGATTGACAATTATACACTTAGTGGTTGCATTTGAGAAAAGGACCCATAAGCTTAGGAAACTTGAGTCTTTTATAATGAGTAGACATGCCTGCCATTTACCACAGATGTAGACACTATATCTTCCAAGATGGTTACTATACAAGGACCCTTGAAAAGGCAGTCAGGAACATACAGAAACATAAGAAATCCATGAAGAACTTGCAACAATACAAAAAATAATAATAGCTGCTATCACTCATAAAGTATTGAATGAGGGTAAGACATAAATATAAACTTTTAGATTATGTAATAAGTAATATATAAACTGTAAAGACTAGAGAAAAATCCATTTCAAGTGGCCAATTGCAACTAAAAATGAAGGTTATATGTCCCTTTAATATTCATGTAAATGACATCAAAAGATGTAAATTGGAAAATGTCCATTGTAATGGGTTTATATTTTGTTGAACTAAATAACTTGAAGTATTGATGTCAGACTGAAGAGAGGTTACAAGTGGTGTCCTTGAAAAGGTCTCTGCCCTTGCCCTATTCTTGTGTTACAAATATTAGTGATGGTTGGAATGAGAACAAAAATGGCAGGCATATCATATTTATAGAGGATGAAAGACTGGAAAAGATAACCAAAGTTAGGAGGAAAGACATGTCATTAAGAAATAGATGGGCTGAAATATACCCCGAAATGATTAACATGAAATTTAGTAGCTAAATATAAGTTCCTGTACCTAGTTTTTGAAAAGCTATCATTACAACCACAAAACTGCATAGTCCTCAACTAAGAGTCTTTCATGTTAGGAATATTAGAGTACTTAGCTTTAACAAATTTCTTAACCTCCCTGGGATTTCGTGCCTCATTTTATGAAGGAGATGCTAAACTATGCTATCTCCATCTTCCCATCTAAATGGAGCCTGCTAAATAATACTTAAAAGTAATTACTTGAGCAGCAGGTCTCCCATCCAAGGGCTCACCAGGAGCAACCCTGCTTAGCTTCCCAGCCTGTGGCACATCCTGCACCTGCACGCCATGGTAATTACTTAGTTGTGAATAATCTACAGCAACAATGTTCTAAGGCATGAATATAACCACCTATTCTAAATCAAATATAATAGTAATCCCCCATACTGTCTACTTGAGTATTGTATTCAAGATGCCCCACTTTAACTAGGACATTGAAACACTGACAAGCATTTATATGAAAATGAAGATAAAAACATAAGGAAAGCAATCCTGACTTGAACCCCACAACTTTAAAATTTAATTTAATTTAATTTAAAAAAGAAAGAAAGAAACATAAGGAAAGATCTGCAGCCTCTTTTTCAACAGAGGCTAAAAAAAATTGAAGATGTTTGGTCTGTAATAAAGAAGACTTTAGAGACATAACACTCTCCGACTATGTGAAACAAAGTGAGATAGAAAGCAGGTTAAGGATATGTAGAGAAAAATTTCAGGAAGTTAGATTCGAAATAAGAATGTGTTGTAAATTGTTGATAGTAAATGAGGTGATCCTGCAATACTAGTGGACTATAATTCTCAGTGTATCTAAAGCACTAACCACGTGTCAGTCATGTTATGGAGAAGCTCTGGCTTTGGGTGGAAGGTGCTGTTCATTGATCCCTCAGGGCACTTCTAAAATCATATGAGTCTATAATTTTGAAAGTGATGCTCTTCTGACAGAGTAGTTCGAGTTTTGTTGTTGAGAAGGCTTTAGTTTTAGTCTCAGCACTAACTAGGACTTGCTACTTGGACTTTGTGCAATCCACTCAACACCTTTGGGACTATGTCCTCACTAATCAACTGATACGTTGGGTTAATTTATCCATTTGTTTGTTGATTACAGTCTTATTAGGGAAAAAATTTAACGTAATTTTTAAAATATACAAACATAAAGAATTTGAGTCTTTGAGGTATTCTCTGCCCAGATTCTCTGAGAATGAAGTATACAAGTAAAGAGATTTCATTTTAAATTGCTGTAGAAATACAATTCTATATTCTTTCTGGTCATATTTGAAAGACTGTATCTGCTGTACTAGCCTGAATTATTCCTGAAAGTCATTTGGACTAAGTTTAGTTCTAGGGTGTCCTCATTCTGAAGTGATTTTTTTAAAGTATTTTTCAAGTTAGGTCCTGAAAACACAAAAGTATTTAAAACTTTATGAGGCCAATGGCAAGTATTATCAGAAAAGCTAGTTATGTAACTTCATAAGGACTCTGCTCTTTCTGTTCCATCCTGAAAGTATCTGTACATAAATTCAGAGGAAGTTACCACAGGCAGACCTGTGTCTGAGGGAAGAGGATCAAAGAAATGCTGGCAAATCTATTGTTATCAGAAAGACCTCTAGTCTTGTAAGATCAAGATCTTGGTATCAAGCATTTAATTCTGCCTCACCCACCCCAGCCACCAAAAATAAGAACTCCAAGAGAAAAAGCTACTTGATCTGTTTGTGTAACGTTAGATCTTAGATCTCAAGTGCTTAGAGCATCAATACTATGGAAATGTCACTGATGCTGTTCTCTGTTCTCCTACCAGGCCACCCATGGAAGACTCTCAAACACTCTTGACTCCGGTGGTAAGCTGTGGGCCCCCAGGAGCTCTGCTGACCCGTCCTGTCATTCTCACCATGCATCACTGTGCAGATCCCAATACTGAGGACTGGAAAATCCTGCTCAAGAACCAGACAGCACAGGGACAGTGGGAGGTAAGCTTCTGTTGGAATGACGACAGAATGTGAGAGCAAGCTATGCAGATGAGCAGGAGCAATTATGAGAAGCTTCTTTGTTTTTGTTTTTGTTTTTAGCAAAACATGGGTGGAATTTTCACTCACTCAAAATGATATACATACATCATATAATACTATGCAACCATAAAAAAGAATGAATGGAGCTGGAGATCAGCATCCTGCGTGAGCTGACTCAGAAACAGAAAAACAAACACCACATGTTCTCACTTATATGTGCGAGCTAAATGGCCACAGAGATGAAAATATAGACACCAATAAGGAGGGAGACAGACAGGGGCAGTTAGAGTTCAGAAATTATCTATGGGACACAATATTCACTATCTAGGGAATGGGCCATCTAAGACCCAATCCCCACCACTATACAATATGTCCATGTAACAAACATGCACTTGTACCCTTTGATTCCAATTTTTTTTATAAAAATTGAGAGGCAGACCCAGATAGACTAGTTCCTGAGTGTTATGTCTTCTGATTGAAAGACATACAGAATATGATGGGCATGCATTAGCTAACTCATAGGAAAAGTGTACTTAAAAGTCTTGTACAAGTCCCTTTTGAAATCTAGATACTTTGTATTGGGAAGAGGGAGGGAGGGAGGAAGGGAGGAAGGGAGGGAAGGAGGGAGGGAGATAGATAGATAGATAGATAGATAGATAGATAGATAGATAGATAGATAGATAGATAGATGATAGAACAGATTAGATAGAGAGATAGATGATAGAATAGATTAGATAGATCGATAGATTAGATAGATAGATGACATAGACATAGAAAGAGACAGGGATGATAGAGACAGAGACAGAGTCATCGACATAGAGATGATAGAGATAGAGGTATAAATATACATATTTGTAGGTAGAAAAATGTTGTGCCTGGGCTAGAAATGCTAGACACCTACTTGCAAGCAATACCTGGGATATAGTTCTTGTGAACGTCACCTGAGAAAACAGAAAGGGTGTGTCACCAAAGCTAGGCTAAAATGAAGAAAATCTGTGGAATCTTGGCTGTCCATGTCTGTTGCCATCATCGCTTCTTAAGGACAGTGCCTTAAACAAGTCCTGTTCTTTACTCAGAACCCTTCACTTAGCACTGATATTTCAGGAATATCTGTATCAAAAAATGTCAAACAATCATAAAAACAATACTATAAGTTTATATTTATATAAAAGTTTAAATACATATAAATGTGAAGCTATACTATACAAAGTATTATCATATACTACTCATTTGCTCGTGGTATTTTTCTTTTAGGAAAGAAATATTGAGAAAAGATACACATGAAGATTCAAGCTCCTAATATTTTAGAAAAATATAGTATTAGAGTTACAAGGGTAGCAGGGCATCCTGGGGATTAAGTGGAATGTTCTTTCTATGGACACAGTCTACTCTTGGCTGTATGAGGGGATCACTCTTTGCCAAAGGACCTAAAGTCCAGGATTGGAGCTTAGGAATACACTTTATGTTGAGTGAAGCTCAGATTTAACCAGCTCTAACTCTGATTTCATTTAAGCTTTAAATGATTTATCTGGAAAATATCTTAGTCTTATTAATCTCAAGCATTTCTAAATTGTTTGTATGATCCTTTGTCTAATACCCTGTCCATTTCTGGGTTTGAATAATAATAGCAACAATAAACTAAATGGATTAGGAAAACGGAAGAGGACAGTCCTCAGGGAAACAACCTTATATTTGTGAGTGACTGGGACATGGGTATTTTTATTCTTAGCTATATCTTCTTGGAGGCTTCCTGTACCATGTCATTACCAGGTGATAGGTGGTTTGCCTTTGTCCTGCTGGTGTCCTTTTGGGGCTGGACTAACCTAAGAGGAGCTGAACTTCTTTCTCTCTTTTCCTTGTCAGTCTGAGCTTCCTCCTGGGGTATAGATTCAGTTAAAGAAATTATTTCACTGATGCTGTTAAAAACACAGCTCTTATTATAGTGCAAATGATGTTACAAGACCTAACTAACAAACTATCACTTAGGTGGCTCCTTCATCCATATCTTTGTGTAGTCTTGAGGACTAAATTGATGACAAAGCACTCATTCACTTTTCGACATATGGTTATTGGACACCCACCATGCACAAAGCTTCTGTCCCTGCAGAGATCAGAAAACCTAATGCAGGGGCTAAATCAGGTTCACACATGTGTTTTATTTCCCCCAAATGAAGTTTTCTTTTAAATTTGACTAATTAAAAGTTTATACAAACCTGAACTTCCAGCTTCTGTTGGAAAGCCAGGGTTTTGTCCACAGTTGGCCTGCATTCCAGCACAGTACTATGGGCTGAAGCCAAGTGGAGATGGAATTTTATAGACAGGCATGTGCTCTGTTTCACCACAATCTCCACCACTCCTTATTGCCTTCTGCCCTAGCTGCTTCACATGTTTCTGTTACCTGGACACCCAGAACAGATTCTGAATAGCAACCATTGGTTTATGGATCTTATACCTTGGTATTTCAGAGCATTTATTGCTTGGCCTTAGCCATTTAAATAAATCCAAACCCAGGTGAGTTAGTACGTATTTTTACAAATATCATCACTTCCACTTATTTTTGTTTCTTGTTAAATATTTTCAAAGTCTAAACCATGCTCGGTGGCTCAGCCTGTAATCCCGCGCCTTTGGGAGGCTGAGGTGAGTGGATTGCCTGAGCCCACGGGTTCGAGATCCACCTGGGCAGCGAGACTTCATCTCTACAATAAATCAAAAAATCAGCCGGGCGTGGTAGCGTATGCCTGTAATTCCAGCTACTTGGAAGGCTGAGGCAGAAGGATCACCAGAGCCCAGCAGGTTGAGGCTGCGGTGGCCGGGAGCGGCCACTGCATTCCAGTCTGGGCAATAGAGTGAGACTCCAACTCAAAAATAAATATATATATTTTCAAAGTCTAAAAGAGTAGACTGTTTCATGGCTTGCTTGAAAAATAACAGAGAAATGTGTCTTAAAGTCATGGAGTTGGCCATATCTTGCTTTCCATAGAGTCCAGCAACCAAGATGATTTAGAAAAGACAGCGTATCGCTTTGGGAAATAACTGTTAGGTGAGTTTGGGAAGAACATCATAGAATCATAGGCTTGTATAATAATGTATTCTTACATAATTTCTTTTCTTTTTTTTGAGTTGGAGTCTTACTCCGTCGCCCAGACTGGAGTGCACGCTTAGGACCACCCCAGAATTGACCTGCTGGACTCTGGCGATCTTTCCTTCTCAGCCTTCCAAGTAGCCAGAACTACAGGCATGCCCTACCACACCGGGCTAATTTTTTATTTATTGTAGAGATGAGGTCTCGCCAAGTTGCCCGGGCTTGTCTGGAACCTGCAGGCTCAGGCAATCCACTCGCCTTGGCCTCCCAAAGTGCTAGGATTACAAGCTAAGCCACCGAGCCCGGCCTGCATAATTTCTTAATTTCTCTAATTCTATTCAAACATGTAGATTTTTAGGGAAAATATAGATTCTTGGGAGATTAAAAAATGTTAACTAAAGGGCATCTAAATAAAGAATATTGTCAGTATAAAGGCACTTGCAGAAAGGAAGGTGATGATGAAGAATGGAAGCAGATGGATTACAAAGTAGTCTGAGAAAGAAAAAAGATCAGGAAAAGGACCATTTCTGCTCTATCCATTACCGTTCACCACCATCCATGGTGGCCAGCGCATGTCCTTAGCGGCTTAGACATGCCCCTTCCCTCTTGTTCCTTAGGACGTGGTGGTGGTCGGAGAAGAAAACTTCACAACCCCCTGCTACATTCAGCTGGATGCAGAGGCCTGCCACATCCTCACAGAGAACCTTAGCACCTACACCCTGGTCGGGCATTCCGTCTCTAAGGCGGCCGCGAAACGTCTGAAACTAGCCATCTTTGGGCCCCTCTGTTGTTCCTCCCTGGAGTACAGCATCCGAGTCTACTGTCTGGATGACACCCAGGATGCCCTGAAGGTAAGTGGCTGTCTCCTGACCTGCCCTCTTCACCATCACCTGGAAACCGAGGTTTGGCACAGCTGTGCACACCTGGAGATATGCCTGCTGTGTGCACGTAAGTGTGTTAACACACTTGTTTGACCCCAAAGGAAACAGTGGGGAGAAAAAGTAGACATTCTTCTGAGGTCATGCTGATATATGAGCTGCTTTCTTTATGCTGATCCCTCCCAGGGGCTACTTTGTTTACCTTCCTTGATTTCTTTTAATGAAAAATTTAGAAGAATTTGGCAGCAAGACCCGTGGATGGTAAATAATCTGCTTCCATGTTTATCTCAGCTGTGCTCTTCCTGTAAAAGGAATTGGCATAATTGCTTACACTGTATGTTCCTCTGGTGTGCTACTTCATTTATATGCCTTCCCATTCCGTTTATGAGGGCTGTGAAGGAGAGGGTTAGCATTTAACAACAGGCTGCTGCTTTGCAGAATAGATGAGCTTAATTCCTGGTGTGATTATTGCCATTCTTTTTATCTCATTTGAAGCTTTAAGGGATATAGCAAATGCCTTTGAAAAAGTTATGATCTAGAAGGAGGAATAAAAGAAGTATGCCAAGGATGAGAAGCCAAGTCAGACATGAGACATGCCATGGCTGAGGTGCAAAGTTCTATGGGAGTTCGGGAGATGAAGGGATTATATTATTTTGAGGAAATCTGGAAAGGAACCAACACTTGAGGTTAGCCCCAATGGAAGGTAGGGCTTTGACCAGAAATCATGAGGGAAAAAAATTTAAGATTTCTAAGTGGGGGGAACAGCATGAAGAAATATAGAAGCAACCAAAAAATAAAAACTCTATGCAGGTGTACTGTTTACAGAAAGCCTAGAATGATAGGTAGGAATTTTATAGGATGGACTTTCAATGCCAGAAAGAGAAATTTAGATTCAGTTTATTGGGTTAGTGGAAACTGAAGAGGTTTAAACAGAAGAAATACATGACTGGAAATATATATTTGGAATATTTGTCTGACTTCAGTGAAAAGATAGAGTCATGATTAGAAGGAATGTGTGGCAGAGCCGAGCTCATGACAGTAGAGTAAGATGAAGGGAGTAAGCATATAGGGCCCTGTTCAAGGAACCTTTATGGGTCCTGATTACTAATGTGGAAAGGGTGAGACAGAAGGTCAAGTTTCTGCCTCTAACAGTAGAAACTCAGGGAGTAGGACACTTAGGGTATAGAGACAGTGCCTGTTTAATCAGTTTGGGCTGCTGTAACAACACGTTTCTTATAGTGGCTTAAACAACACATGTTTATTTCTTATAGTTCTGGTTATGGAAAATCTGAGATCAAGGTGCCAACATGATCAGGCTCCAGTGAGGGACACTCTTCCGGCTTTTTGCTGTGTCCTCACATTCTGATGAGAGGACTAGAGATCTATCTGGAGTCTCTTTTATAAGATTACTGATTCCACTCATGAGATCACCCTCATGACCTAATTACTCCTCAAAGGCCCCCACTTTCTAATATTATCACATTGGGGCTAGAATGACAACATATGAATTTGAGGGGACACAAACATTCAGTCCATAACAATGCTTTTTCTTTTGGAATCCTGAGTTAGAGGTATGAATTGGAAATCTAGAAAGATGCTCAAGGGGTAGTTAGAAATATGCGTGTGGTTTTCTGAACAGAAAGCAGATTTTGGGGTGGAGCTTCAGGTGCCACCTACATTATGTTGATCATTGTCATCCAAAGGTACCGTTGATGGAGTGGCTTAAACAACACATGTTTATCCTTGTCCTAAACAACACTGTGTCATTCAGCGTGATCAGAGAGAATACTAAGAGAGAGTAGAGGAAGAAAATAACGTAAAAATAGAAAACATTACTGACCACTTCCTACGTACCAGGCAAAATTCTAAATATTTTATGTTAATTCACTTAATCTTTACTACAACTGCGTAAGATACCATGATCTCCACTCTAATAGATGTTCAATCCAAGGCACTGCAAGTTTAAGTAAGTTGCTCTAGATCACACAGCTATTAAGTGGAGAAAGCAGAATTCGTGCGCCTGTAGCTGGCTGCACTCATGCTCTGCTCCTAAGCCAGGTTACTTGAAGAACCACGCCCTAGAGCTGAGGGGCTCAGGAGAGACCTGCCATTGCAAGTGAAGAGAAGGAGCAGCCAGCAAAGGACCTTAAGAAGGATGAGCACCCACAAGAGGAAGAGAAGTGGAAGAAAAGGAGTGAAGAAAGCCAAGAGGAGAACGTTTTTCTGAATATCAATGTATTTCCTTCAAGAGCTTCTTTCCAGAGTAGTTCTAGGTCATGAACAGTGAGTGTTTCAGGAAAGATGCCATGGGAAAAGATTGTAGAGGAAACAGGGAGATGAGCTAGGAACCTGTTGCCATCATCTGTTCCTCATGGTGGACTTTACCAGCATGGCCTTGGAGGAGGGCATGAGACCTGCTCAGTCACTGGATATAATTTTAATGGTCAGGTCTGTAGAGTTTTCTGATGTTGAATAAATGTTGTGAACACACAGCTCTAGTATAAAGAAAGCTTAGGTCGTTTCTTTTATATTCCTTGCAAATGAAATACATTCAGGGCACTACTGGAATAGAAATAATACTAGGCTTAAATTCTTCTTAGGGAAAATTATATCTGTAAGGGAACCATGAAGTCTGATTAAGGCAAATCTTTTGGACAGTTCCAAGGAAAGTCATTACAAAAAGCGTACCATAGAAGACCTACTTCAGCTGGATGTAGTGGCTCACACCTATAATCCCACCACTTTGGGAGGCTAAGGCAGGTGGATTGCTTGACCAGTCAAGACCAGTCTGGGCAACATACCAAAACCTCATCGCTACAAAAAAAAAATAACCAGGCATGGTGGTGTATGCCTATACTCCCAGCTACTAGGGATGCTGAGGTGGAAGAATCAACTGAACCCAGGAGGTCAAGGCTGCCATGAGCTGTGATCATTATGATCATGCCACTGCACTCCAGCCTAGGTGACAGAATGAAACTCTGATTCAAAAAAGAACTACATCACATTTCAAATGTTTGATATACATATTTAACATTCACACTCTGTTTAGGCACCTGTCTTCCCAATAAACATACACAAATCTGTGCAAAAAAGTAATATTTTGCAAAACAAATCTAATCATTTTCATTAGTGAAAAAGAGATGCAAATGGCCAGTAGTGAGAAAAATGAATGAATAGGTTTAAGCAGCAAAAACAACCCAAGAACAGTTTGTATCATGGTCAATGCTTCCCGAATAGACGTTTATCAGTTCTCAGCATCTGGGGATCTAGCACTTAGCCTGAAACAACATGAATAATGGATGAGGCTTTCTTGCACCTCATGGCCTTTTAATAATGTAGAAATACCAAGATCCTAGTTATAGGTAAATGGTCTCTCCAACACACTGAAGAGACAATTATTTCAGTCACCCCAACCCTTGCTCATACCCACGCTTGAATTGGAACCATGGGGCTGATTAGCTCAAAAAGGCCCTTTATTACTGAAAGTCTGCTTTCTTGGCACCCTGCCTGCTAATGTTCCCTGCCAGACTCTCTCCCATGTCCCTGCTTCCCTAAGCACTGTAACATGAAATACTGTCTCTTGCATCAGTCCTCCAAAATACCTCCTCCTCCTTGGGACCTGGGCCTCTCCTGACTCATGCACTCCTGCTCTTCCTAAATCAGTAGTTCTCTCCCTCAGCACACACAGGAATCACTTTGGGGAGCTTTTAAAAAACTCTCTCCGGGGTCTCACTCCCTGGGCTCTCATCTAAATACCAGGGGTATTCTTTAATTTTTTACTTTTTTTAAATCTCCCAGGCTGGAGTGCAGTGGTATGATCATAGCTCACTGCAGCCTCAACCTCCTGCGTTCAAGGGATCCTCCTCCCTCAGCCTCTCAAGTAGCTGGACTATAGGCCTGAGCCACTATGCCTAGCTGACTTTTTTTTTTAATGCTCTATGGGTTATTCTACTGAGCAGCAAAGGCTAAGAACTATTATCCTAAACACTTTCACGAATCTTTTGGGGAACTTTAATTCTATTAAGGACAAACTTATCTACATCCTCAAATCATTCTCTACCCCATTTCTCCACCTGCTCCCATTGACTGCCACTGGATCTTTCTGGAAAAATGTCAGACCATACCCCTAACTAGCCACAAGGCTGAGGGGAGAAGTTCCAATACGTCTCACATCCCATGACCATTCCTGGGCATCTCTCTACTTCATGGGCTGGTCTTTCTTCTGTTGCCCATCACCCATTTCGGTTCCTTAGCACACACCTCTGCAAATCCCTGCTCTCACAGTGCCTGCCTTGCGATCTTCCTTTCCATCCATTTTATTCCCATGATTCTCTCAGATTCAGTGTCACCACTCAAATCAGTTTATTTGCACAAATTTATTCTAGTAACCTTCACATCATCCCACACTATCTATCTACCAGTGCTCTAGGTTTCATCTTCATTAGTAACCGCCCCATTGCCAAGATCTCCACCTGTGAAATGCCACCCTCTGACCTCAACCATCTGGCCATCCATCTCTTTCACAGAAGGTGCACAGAGGCTGCCCCCTGTTCTTACAGAGAAGCTCCCTTAACTTTCTGTGGTTTCTCAATTCACAAACCATCATCTGCTATTACCCATATCTACAGGAAACTCACCTCCACTCTGAAATCTCATCATCTAGAGCTGCGACAGGCAGCTCTTTGTTAATCTCCATAGCCAAGGATGACCTCCACTGACAATGACAAGCCCTCTACAGGCTATTGAGTTGCTATGAAGGATCATACCTTTCTTTCTTTCTTTCTTTCTTTCTTTCTTTCTTTCTTTCTTTCTTTCTTTCTTTCTTTCTTTTCTTTTCTTTTCTTTCTTTTCTTTTCTTTTCTTTTCTTTTCTTTTCTTTTCTTTTCTTTTCTTTTCTTTTCGAGTCTAGATCTTACTCTGTCACTCAGCCCAGGCTGGAGTTCAGTGGTATGATCATGCTTACTGCAGCCTCA